CGGGGGCGGTCAGCGCCCGGCCCGTCCCCTCCCTGCTCAGGGTAGGGAGAAACCCGACAGCTCTGTGTGCACAGTCTGTTCCCGGGAGTACTGAGGGCAGCAGGTGCCCCTCTGCGACCTCTCCTTGGCGTGTAAACAAACGCAACGAAAACAGGTTGGAAGGGAAATTCAGCCTGCTTCGTAGCCCCCAGCGAGTGCTGCAGTGCTGCCGGGAGCCGAGGCTCGAGAGGCCAGAGCTCTGTCCTTGCTGCTGCTGAGCACTGGCAGGAGCCCCTCAGCACCCAGCACTCGCCTGGTTTGGAGAATGTCAACGGGAATGACAGCCTGACTGAAAATACCAGTGGCACTCAGAGCTAGTGCTTGCACATTTCTTCCAGGACAGCATCTCATCAGTGCCATTGCAGAACAGATGTTTGGATTCAAGACGACTTCATGGTGAGCAGGATAAAGGTTCCTTTTGACCCCAGTGTTCTCTTGTTTGGCACATGCCACCATGCTGCCCCACACAGAGCCTGAACACTGAAACGCCAAAAGCAATTTGGACATTTCACTTGAGCTCAGATGTTGTGGGAGAGCTGACTAACCTGGAGAGAACCTGTACAGAGTGTTGGCTCTGTCTTGTCCTCCTTAAGTGTTTGGTTTCCATCTGGTGCTCTGAACACAACAGTGAGAGGAGGGAAGTCTGTTTTGTTTCAGTCACCACATTCCCAGCAGTGGAATTCTGGTTCTGCACCAAGGGACCTCCCAGCTGGTCTCAGCTACAGCAGCCGATGTTCTTTCTTGGTGCAGGGAGCTGGGCCGTCAGCGAAGTGTCATTGAGCTGGACACCCCCTCAGTGACAGCCGAGCAGGTCGAGGCCCTGGAGAGGAGCCTGAACGAGAAAATCCGGGACAGGGTTCCTGTAACAGTGAGGGAACTGGCTGCAGATGACCCTGAAATTGAAACAGTGAGTGGTGGGAGAGAACTGATGGGATTCGTGGGACCGGAATAACTGAGCACAGATGTCACCTTCTTTGTCACTCTTCTCCTCTGCCAGGTGAGGAGCCGGGGGCTGCCTGATGACCACGTAGGGCCAGTGCGTGTGGTGGACATCAAAGGCATCGACTCCAACATGTGCTGTGGGACTCATGTCAGCAACCTGAGTGACCTCCAGGTGGGTGGCTGCAGCTGGGCTGCCTCTGGGAGCCACACTCCACATGGAGTACAGCCAGAGTCTGTGGGATCCACAGGCTGCTTGAGACTGTGCTGATGAGGAAAGGGGTGGCAGCAGCCTCAGGCTGAGGGAGGCTCACACACAGGCTGGGCACCTCAGATGCTTTTGTTTCCTTGTTGCAGAACTCAGCCCTGTGTGCAGCAGTGACATTTTTGCACTGCCAGGGGTGTTGGCCTTGTTCCCTCTGCTTAAAGCTCTGATATTTTTGAGTGTTCATTGTGGATGAGAAATTTCCTGTGCAGGGAAATGGTGATAGAATCCTAGACCTGCCTTTAAGTATTTGTACTTTCTCAGTCATTGGTTAGAGTCTTCCCAGCAGAGACATCCAGATGCCCTATACAGAGTGCATCTCATTGCTAGAAAATTGCATAAATTCCACTGTACCACTATCCCTTTTTTTTTGTATGTTGACCTTATGGCTGATTTTAATCAATTTATTTTCACTAGCAGACAGTCAAAATTTGCCACAAGGCATAATCTGGTAGGAAATGATCACCTGTGTGAATTACCAAAATGCTGTTGTGACCAGGTTGATTTTCTTTTTAAGGTTATTAAACTCCTTGGCGTGGAAAAAGGGAAAAAGAACAAAACCAACTTGGTTTTCTTGGCGGGAAACAGAGTGCTGAAGTCAATCGAACAAAGCCACAGTACTGAGAAGGCTCTAACCTCCCTGCTCAAGTAATACCCTTTCCACTTCTGTTAATCTTCACTCTTCCTCCTGAGAGATACCACATAAGCCTCAGGGTACATGTTGTGGGGCTGTGTATGATGTTGCCTGTTTTGCTCCTTTAGGAAATCCTTCCTTTGTCCTTCAGAACAGTGATCCAAAATCTCCCATTTCTTTCAGAAATGGGCCAGGTGAGCACGTAGAGGCTGTGAAGAGACTGCAGAGCTCTGTGAAACTGCTCCAGAAGGTACAAGAATGGCTGAGAAAAGTGGGTTGTCACTATTTCCTGTACACCTTTAGCTGTGGTAACTGAGAGTCAAATCATTGGCTTCCATTTTTGTGGCTATTATGGAAAGTGCTCAAACCTCTGGGAACACAGCTGTGTTCACACTGACTGCTGCAGCTGCAGTACAGTTCAGTTGCTTTTCTTTCAGAATAACCTGAACCTGCTTAGAGACATTGCTGTTTTGATAGCCCGGGACTTCAAGAGCAAACCTGCTCCAAAGCAGCTGTTTGTATTGCACAGGTATGGGGGAGCTCAGGGAGGAGGGGGCAACAATATCCCACACATTTTGTGACAGTTGGATCTCTCACATTTGTGCAGTTTGTTTTCTCAAGGAAGAATGTAAACAAATAAATGGAATATTAAACTGCCTTGGCCTACTGCAAAGTTGTGTAATTAAAGGAAGTTGTTCATAATTCAGTCACTCAATTCTTCTGGTTTTGTAGCTGAGAAATTAATCCATCTAATGTGTCCATCTAATTCCCTGTGCACTTGATATTTTCAAATAAAACCAGGAAGCTCTGTTTCTTAAAGATAACACATAATTCTCAACATGTCCATGGGAGTGTCCAGTGAGAATTTACATAGACAAATAAGAGCAAGAGGTCAAAATCCCTGATCAGGCACTTGGTTTCTGATTGAGATTTTGTACTCTGGAGGGGGGTTTTGCTTCTTTCTGAAGTGTTTTTTTATCCATCCATACAGGAAAGAGGGTGATTCTGAATTTATGAACATCATTGCTAATGAGATTGGGACAGAGGTGAGTCACTTATGAAGACTAAACTGATTTTTCTGGTTTTTCACCCATTATACACAGACAGGGACTGCCAGGCTGCTGTTCCTCACACAGTCATGATCTGGAGCTCTGGTTCCTTTGACAGGTACCTGAGGTGACCTGTCCCCAGCAGCTGCAGTCTGTAGGGCAGTCCCCAACAGTGAGAATTCAGAGCACTGAGGAAGAGCCTTAACCCCCCAAGAGTTGTACAGAGTAGAAACAGGTTAGGATAGGATTAGGCAGGAGTAGAATAGAAAGAACAGAAGGTTTCAGTCACAATCACCTAATTCAACTGCCAACTGAATCTTTTTAACTTGGTATACTCCAGTATTGTTCTGTCCCAACAGCACATGACTGAGTACAAAAAGTTCAGATGCCACTTCCCTTTTACTTTTCTCAAGCAGTCTCAGTAATGCACATAGACTTCCAAATTGTCAGTTTGCTGTTTGTGTCCTGTGGCCAGTGTCTGTCCTCTTCTTGGATGAGGAGGGCACTGATTTATCTGGAACAAGGCCCATCTCTGTCCACAGGAAACCCTGCTATTCCTGACTGTGGGAGATGAAAAAGAAGCAGGACTCTTCCTTCTAGCTGGACCTGTTGAAGCAGTTGAAAATTTAGGTCCCAGGTAACATGTTTTGTGATTTAACTTGAGTTAGAATTCTGATGTTGCAGACTGAGCAGCCAGGCACAGATCTGTGTGTGCTGTCTGGAGCAGGTTGGGCTCCAGCCTGTGGTGTTGTTGCTGCAGGGTGGCAGAACTGCTGGGTGGGAAAGGAGCTGGGAAGCGTGGCCGCTTCCAGGGCAAGGCAGCCAAGATGAGCCGGCGAGGAGAAGTGCAAGCTCTGCTCCAGGAATTCATTAGCCATCAGAACCCTGGAGCATAAGAAACAATTCTCAAAGTAGGTTTGTCTTCCCTTTGTTTGCATAGGCCCCGTGAGCTTCTCTACCAGAGAATAAAGACCTGAACCCAACAGCTGGTGTGCACATGCTCTGCGTGGGCTGGTTTGGTGCTCACGGAAATGGGGAGGGGATCTGCCATCAATGCTTTGCTGCAAGGGCTCATTACTCAAGACAAATGGTACAGGGATTAAAGTAGCCGTTGGTTAACCACTTTGTAGGGTTCCTAAATCCAGAAGGGGCCTCTTGCTGGCAGTACTTTGGGGCATTTGGCTTTGTGCCAGTTGCTGAGGAGGAGTTGCTTGGCACGAATGCTCAAGCAAGAGGCAGCTGGTCCTCCCAGACACCTTGGGCTGGGCAAGGGCAGGGAGTAGCTGGAGAGAAGAGCAGGTGCCCCACAGGCAGATCATTCCCCACCATGTACCAACTGCTTTCCCCTGATGGGGTGCAGTTGTTACTGGTCATTTTTTGACCATCAGTAGTTTCTCAGGTTGATGAAACTGTAAACTCCCTAGGGATCAGGCAGATCTGTCCCTGGTGTTCCCTCAGCTCACCTTTCCTGCCCAGGCAGGCCATGGAGCTGCTGCAGTCTCCTCTGGAGGATGTGGCGTCACAACGGGGCACAACAGGTAATTTGAGAATTTCCCCTTCCCCTTGCTAGAAATGGAATGACAGGTTTATTCCAGATGTTGGTAGTACACAGAGAAACAGAATAAAAGAAACCTCCATCCTAGGGGAAGTTTATCTGCCATGAGCAAGGGGATGGGAGCAGCCCCAGCAGATGGGGTTCCCAGCTGTGACTGCTGCATGGCCGCAGCCTTGGCTGAGCTCTTGGGATGGTGTCAGAACACAGGAACCACCACTGGGGCCTGGAACTGGGTATGGGGTCAGAGCTGCAGGGCCTGGTGCTTTGGGAGCAATCCTACACATGCACACAGTCTGGCAGGAAGAAAGTACCTGCACCTCCCTATCTATTTTGGACTGTCTCAGACTGAGGATGTTTACTGAGAAAGTAAACAGGGCTGTACTGCCTGCACAGCTCAGAGGCTGCAGGTTGAGCCCACAGGATTTCCTGCTGCAGTGAGCACTGGGCTGGGGTACTGAGGAGGGAGGGGCATGACCCCAATGACCCCAACCCCACACCGCACCCAAATGCCAGTTCTGTCCCCAACACCCTGGGGGCTCAGCACAGCCTCAGCTGAGCCAGTTGGTCTCAAAGCTGAGCTTGTTTCTGGGAGCAGTGAGGTGACACAAGTTTGTTCCTGGCACAAAGTGCACCCAGAAGCCTTGGATAAACAGCACAAAAAGCAGCTCATTGGCCTCACTGTGCTGTCAGTGTTCAGCTGCACCTCAGGGCAAAAGGTAGAGGCCCAGGGCACTAGGCATGAGGCTTCCCAGTGGCTTGAGCGTGTCCTGCAGGTGTTGAGGGTCTTCAGCACCTGCCAGGAGAAATGTCCTTTACCATCTGCAGGCCATGCCACAACCCTGCATCCAGGAGCTGATCCCTCATCCCATGGCACTGGCCAGCAGGACACTCAAACTCGCCAGCCTAAATAATGTTCAGCTTTAATAAAATCCCTCCTGTGCACAACCCCACCCCATGTCCTGTGTGCACAGGTGTGTGTTACGCATGTACACACATGGGCGTGTGTGCACCCTGCACTGCCTCACACACAGGTGAGCACCAAACGTCCCAGGCCTGGGGGGGTCTCTCCATGTCACAGTGTCTGCCCATTCCTGTCACAGAGCTGCCTCTTCAGCCGAGCTGAGAACCCTGCTCGCTGTGGTGCTGTCCCCAGCCCTGCAGCATGGAGGTGGCCTGTCCCCACGAGCTGCAAGGGAGTGCAGGACCTCCTGCTGCTGCTGCTGGGTCCTGGGCAGGTGACTCCCAGCTGTGGGTGAAGGAGGGACAGCAGGGGAGTCCTGGGCACACAGGGCTCTCTGTGCCACCAGCCATGAGAGCAGCGTGGCTGCCACTGTGTGTCCGTGTTGTGGGAGCCACCCGGCAGCAGCACTAGCCCAGCCTCCGTGGTCCGCTCCCAGGGCAGAACCAGCCCGTGCAGATTCAGCGGGAAGCAGACAGCGGCTGAGGTGCAGCCAGGGCCTGGCAGCTGTCCCTGAGCCCAGGGCTGGGGTGTCTGCCTGCCTTAGGCAGCCTTTTTGTCCTGTGTGGCCAGGAGCTGGGAGAGGCAGTAGGGGATGAGGCCGACAGTAGCCAGCGGCACGGCCGCGCTCTTGCAGAAGGAGAGGGCGTAGAAGAGCAGCTGCATGTGGGAGGGTGGCTTGAAGGCATCGAAGATGTGGAGGATGAGGAGGGAGGCAGCGATGCAGCCCAGGCGGAAGGGCAGCTGCTGGCCCTGCTTTAACCGGGAGCTCTCCTGGTACATATGGGAGTTGAGGGCCAGCCCCAGCCCGAAGAGGATGCCCAGGTTACGGAGGAGGCTGGCAAAGGGAGTGGTGTCAATGTGGACCCACTCAGGGTGGCTGCACCACTTCTGTGCCTTCTCCAGCGTCCAGAGCAGGTCCACGCCGAATGTCCAGAGCAGCAGGTAGAAACCCAGGGTGAAGCTGAAGAGGAAGACGGTGATGCCCAGGTACCGCTGGAAGCTGGCATTGTAGATGCAGTGGACATGCTGGAAGGTCTTGGCCACGGCCATCCCTGCCGGGGAGGATTGGTCAGTGCTGTGGGTACTGCAGTCCAGCACAGTGGTGCTGCAGGACAAGGGAAGGGGGTCTGATGCACTCACCTGAGAAAACCCCTGCAATCACCTGGTGGGGGAAGTGAGCAGCAATGAAGACTCGGGACATGCAGACGCAGACCTGAACTGCCCAGAACCCAATCCAAAGCACTGTCCACAGCACCCTGGGAGGGACAAGTGGCCATGTCAGTGCCAGGGCCAGCTTGCACTGCCATCATGTACTCCAAACATCTGGCTGCTGAGCCTGTCCCCATGCAGACCCTACCTGAGGTGCTGCCAGGCCACAGCCTTGTGCCTTGATGGGCTTGGCTGTGCCTGTCAGTGCTGGGAGCTGCCTCTGCCTAGAACAGGTGGTTTTGGCACACAACTTACCAGTATTTGAATGTCCTTGACTGCTTTTCTCCTCCAGCAGCAGAGAGGAGAGCCGTCACCATGACATAGTACACGCCTGCTGCACCCATGGCATGGCCAGATGGGCTCCCTGGGCAAGAAGAGAGACCCAGGTCAGACTCTGCATGGGCCAGAGCCGAGCACAGGCAGCTGTGCTGAACCACCAAGGGTCAAGGTCTGCTCTGTGCAGGGGCTGCCCTGCCTCCTTCCCCTGCAGGCACAGCTAGTGTCCCCAGGAGCTCAGCAGTAAGGGCCTCCTTCCAGAGCTGTCCAGGGGCATGTGCTGCCTGCAGGCTGCCAGCCACAGCCCTGGCCAGGCCAGCACCCCCACTTTGTGAGTGCAGGTCACCCCCTGCCCCTGGCTGCACACCCCTAGCATGGCTTGGGGAACCCTACCGGGACCAGTCTCGCAGGTGAGCGGGAACTGCTGGATCTCTGGTGCGGAGTTGTTGCCATAATAGTCTGTGTCAAGGACCCACCAGTATGGTCTCTCCCCAAAGAGGATCCTGAAAAGAAAGAAGGGATCTAGGGAGGTCCTGGGCACAGCTGCAGCTTTAGATCTGCCCTGGGAGATGGAAGTAGCTAAGGACCCACAAGTGGTCCAGGGCATTCTGACAGACACAGCACCCAGCTGATTGCTTGGTTCTGACAGCTGGCACTGCTTGTCCATGTCCCCATCCCCGGCCCTGAGGGGAAGGAGCAAGAACTTCCTGGAAGCAAGTCAATATGACCTCTTGTAGACAGGGGCTCTGTGAAGATCCCCCCACTCAGCACCACAGCCCTGGCTGAAGGGAGGTGCAGAGGCTCCATCTCTGCTTGGCTCTGGGAAGGGGGGAGCTGTTGCTGCATGGCTTGGGAAGGAGTGCCCACTGTCACTGTTCAGCTGGGGCTGAACTCTGTTTTTTGTTCTGCTCTGGCACTGGGGCTGAGAGCACCCATCCGGCCCACATTAGCCCAGGTGTGCCAACACACAGTGGGAGTGTTGGCTGGGGGCACTTACCACTTGAAGACGAGGTTGAGCCAGTCTCCAATTACAGCCACCCAGATGAGCCTGATGCCCACCGCTTCACTGAAGTGGAACCAGATGGGGAAGAGGACAAAAAAAGCATTCCTGAGATCAGCAGCATAAGAGATGAAGAGGAACCAGTCCTGGGAGCCCTGGAAGCGCTGCTGCAGCCAGTGTGTTGTCCTGATGCCTGCATCATGCAGGAGGTTCATGTTGGCCTCCATCCTCCTCTGCTGCCGCTGCCCTCAGTGTGGCTCTGCCTGTCCCGTACTCCACTGTGCCACTGGGGTTTTATACTCTGCAGGGTCTTGTTTGCAGCGGGCAGGTCACTGTCCCAGCACTGATCTTTGGACCCAAAACCACTCTTTCCAAAGGTACATCACCAGGGGGTTGTAACAAACATGTTTGGAACAACTTACGTAAAAGGGGAAAACAGGCTTCGAGGGCACGTGGAGTGCAGTGTGCTCCAGCTCCAGCAGCATCCCCTGCCCTGCCCCATCCCCTCACTCAGGGGGATCCTGCAGGCCTGGCTTCTCCAGCTATCCAATACAACAGTTCAGCTCTGACTGAACCACAGCCTTGCTCCATTACTCTGTGTAATGGAGTGACAGTGTGTGTGACAGTCCTGCAGAGCTGCCATGTCCAGGGTTGACAATTGCTCTGGTCTCTCTGCCATCCCCCGTGAACCACCACCAGAGCATGGCAAGGATGTCCAGGAGCATGGAGTGGCTGCATGGAGCAGAGGACAGACTGCCCACCCCCCTCCTCATTTGCCAGGCTTATTTAATCAGGACTTTGCATAATGGGAAACGTTCAAAGCCATTGCTGGAGGTCCCTGCAGTCCCAGACAGCCAGGCCTGGGATGCTCCTGGCTGCCAGCCATGTTCTTCTGATCTCTAGTGGGGGGCTAAAGGACCCTTGCAAAAAGGGACAGCACTTCTCCTCACAGCACTGCTCCACTGGGTTAACCCCTCCTGCC